TTGATGATGAGAGGAAGGTCGATTGGTTGACTAAATTAAATTAAATTAATAAATTAATGAAATTTTCTTTTATCTATGTACTTTATATGATGGATAATGTTGTTGCTGTTGTTGTTGTGGTTGTGATTGTGATAGACTGGAATAATTATTATCATTTTTTGATGTTAAAAACAAATCACGACTGAAAATAGAAAGAAAATTCTTTTGAAATTATGGATAAATAAACAAGTTATATGATGATAGATTTTACATAAAATTAAATATCATTTCAATCAATATTGAACTCAAATGAATAACTTTCATTGACGGAGTCCTCGTTTCGTTTTTCTTGAAATTTTATTTATTAAAGATTCACGAGCAATTTCTTTTTTTAAATTGTAAGGAAACCATACAGGACACTGTTCAATCTCTCTGAAATCGTATAGAATTTGACTGTCAAATTAGTAATCTTAATGCGTTGTACTTTACAGAACTTTCATTCTATATATTTCTTTCTCTCAATAAAAAAATTTTATTAATTAAATAGAATTCTTGTATACCGTGCTGAATTTTGTGCACGACCAGATATATCTTGTTGAGGTCGACTTGGAACTTGTTGTTGTTGTTGCGATAGTAATCTAGCCATGTAATTAGTCTAAATGAAAAAATATATTAGAAATGAATATAAGAAATTGTACTTTTAAATTTATTCATTATTACGAAGCGTCGATTTGTTTAAGAAAAAAAACAATACTTATTGTGTTAAACTTACTTCTTCGTCTTTTAGTTTTTGTAAGCGTTTTTGATAATCTTCTGTTTGTTGTTTACCTACTTCATCATGCATTCGTTTAATAGAGGCAAATCTGATTGAAAAAAAAATAAAACAGAACAAAGTAAATAGTTTTTTAATAACGTCGAACAGTATTACTTTTCAAAGATTGTATTTCGATCAAGATCATTTTCGGCTGCCATTACATACTATAAAATTGATTCGTTATCGAATTAATCAGAAAACCATAAGATATAATTATAAACAAAGCTTTAAAGAATTTAGCCATTGCTCAGTTGAGTTCGTATCTGTAGTTACCGGGACTTCTTTTTTATTAGAATAAATATTTATGAACATTAATTTTCATATGAAACAAAACAATAAAATATACAAACGTATTGATGAATATTTGAAATTTATTTTAAATATTGACTTTTATTCCAAATTTGTAAATGAGCGTCATCTATCGTAATGCTTATTTTGAGGCTTTTTTTTACATTTTATCTTCTTAGATAATTCTACTGTTTTCATTTTGAGATAATTTTCATTGCAAGTAAAAGTTTGCGTGCATTCTTTTTTATAACAATGCCAGTAGATTTAACTGAAGGTAATTAGTTTTATATTTAATAAATTAACAAAATCATTGTTGTTAATGCATTATGTAGGTACTATTCCCGCACTGTATCGTGATTTATACGAAACGATAAGTTTGCACGGATTGGATAAGTTAACATTGACTGTATTTATACCTTTATTTGAATCAAATACATTGACAAAAGCCACTCTAAATCAAGCAAGTTTATTAATTAAATAATAAAATGTTCTACGAAATGATACAACATATACCTTTCATTTTATTAAGATTTGGTATACAGTTACTAAAACAAATTCAATCGGTTCACGTAATGATTTTTATAAGTGTTTGGCATTGATGGCCCTTGTTCAGCAAGGCAAAGCAATTGATGAGAAATTATTAAATAACTATGTGAATCGAGGTACCTTTGCTATTGTAGAATTTATATCAATATATAAAAAGCCTGTTCCCTTATTTTTTTTTTATAGAATTACCTACTCCAACAATTGATAATATAAATACTTTAGAAGATCGTTTATTACGTCTGCTTCGAAGTGAACAACGAAGCAGTACTCTCTGTTTTCGTTATAATGATCTTTGTGCACTTGATACTATTCAGGTGGATGTAGAACCTGAGAAAAAAGGTAAAAAAAGAAAGTCATTCTTTTAGAAAAATTGTTTCCGATTTAAAACTTCATTTTATCAGGTATTATTATACGACATGTTGAATATGCAATAACAAGCATGGTAAGTATTCTGTTGTTATTGTTGTTAGCATATATTATCACCTTGTTATTTCTTTCGCAAATAAAAATATACTAGCGTCAAAATAACAAGGTCTTACGTCGTTATAATGACTTTGTTGCACTACATGAATTGCTAACGTTAAAATATCCATATCGAATAATACCAATACTTCCACCAAAAAAAACAGTCAATGGTCTGTTTATCGCTCGTTTTCATTAGCTATTACTTCAACAGAAGATGATTTTGCAATTAGAAAAAAAGATAATTGATCATGCTTGTTAATTATTATTTTTTCCTTATTGATAAATAAATTTTTTTTTCACGTCTGTAGTGGATAAAGAATTCATTGAAGAACGTCGTCGAGCACTAAAACGATATATTCAAATTCTGTGTCGTCATCCAACTATTTCTGATACAGAAATCATAAAATTTTTTCTAACATTTCGAGGCGAAGTTGGTATTTTATAAAAACAGTAACGATGTGATTTTCTTTATAAATTTTATTTTTAATAGTCATGTGGTGATAATATGAAAGCAACATATAAAAATACTCTTGATGAATTCAGTTCTGAACCACGATCACTATTGAATACGAATGATAATACTGATGTAATAAATTAAATTTGAATTTATTATTAATTCTTTTTTTTGTTTGATTCTCTTAGAAATTTGGAGAAGATTCTGATGGTATAAAAATATTTCGTATTAGTCAGACGCATATGTCATTTATTCATCAACAATTAAGTCATATTCGCGAATGTTTAATTAGTATTCATGATAAACATTCTAAAAATGCTGATGATTTTACAAATATTGAAAAAACGTTTCAGTAAGATCGAAATTTATTACTATAATTAAAATTAATTATTTTTACTTTTATTTAGAGCACTTAGTTCAGAATCAACAAACATCGATCGATGGGCTACAGGTTCTAATGATTATTGGCCAACAATTCAAGTTGGTCTAGCTGATTTACCTATTGAAATGAGTGCTATATCAGAACGAATTCATGAACAATGTAAACGTGATGATGAAGTGATTAGTGATCATCTTGATATGTTAATTGATTTACTTCAAGGATATAAGGTAAAATAAGAACAAAGTTTTTCTAATTCTAGATTAAATTCATTATACTATAGGATTTATGCAAACGATTTGAAGAAGCACTATTAAGTGAACAAAAAGCTATTCAAAAAGCAAACAATCAACAACAAAGACGTCCAACCATCACAACTGATACATCAACAAAAGTAAAAGCTAATTAAATAGATACTTGATATAGATAAGCATGAAATTGATAAAAATATTCTAAGCATCTTTTGTTTATAACGATCGTTACTATAGGTTCCATTTACCAAACATATGTTCATGTTGATACTAGCTTTACAATACAAATAGCACTCTCGTTTATAATTTTTTCTAGAATATTATATAGTAATGATAATACTATAGTTTCTTTATAGATCTTGATCAGAATATTTCAAGAAATAATCTTTAATTATATAAGATTATATGTTTAATATTAAAAGTTTATTGCTCTTTGCTTGTCGATAATTGTTAATTTTTGTTCTATCCTTATTTAACTAGTTTACTTGAATTTGAAATAATATAAAAATATATAGAAATCAAACCATTTATTGACTGACTATAAGATCTGAATTCAATCGAGTTTCATTAAAGGAAAAAAAGAAGTATATCCGAGTTGTCATAGAAGATAGCTGAAACTCTAAACAAAAAACATGAGCGTCCGAAAATAACACTCTCAATTAAAGTATTCAAATTACTGTTCAAATTTAAACCTGAAATTTTTTCGTTAAACAGTTCCATACATACCTTCATCGAAAAACAATTTTATTATTTACATGTATATCAAATTGTACTCTATGATTCATCCTCAACAGTTGATTTTTAAAACCTGAAATCCTAAGTTTTTATTTTTTTTATTATTTTTATAGAATGAAATCAATCTTGATTTACTTGAA